TTTTTTTTTTTTTTTTTTTTTTTTTTTTTTTTTTTTTTTTTTTTTTTTTTTTTTTTGACAAACAGTAAAATAAAACAATTAAGATAAGAAGGAATTAGACTTAATTATTATTTACAAATATTTGTTTTTAAATATGGTTAAAGTTTAATAAATTAAGCATAGAGTAGTTGCCAACTCTGGTTCATTCATGATCCAATGTATTGGGGCATACATCTAATTTGGTGACCCAATAAATTTGGTACATTTGTAAATTTGTAGCATAAAATTTCAAAGCACTTATGAATGAGTAATAATATGAGGATAATTATATGTTAGCTGTTTATTGAGTTCAAACTCAAACTTAATCATTAAAATTAATAATCATTCAATGTTAATAAATTTAACTTAACATTTAAAAAAAAAATCATACTAAGTTTAACCAAGTTTGTTCCGTTTGTTCTGTCCCGTTTGCTCAAGTTTATTCCGCCTTTATAGCTGTTAGGTTCTCCCAGCGCAAACCTTGGAGAGTATCGATGGTTCTTAATTGGATGCTGAGAGTTTAGAGGGTAAGGTAGGGTCGACAGTCACGAGAGTTCCCAGCCTTGCTACGAACAACTTCGCTCATGACGAGTACCATTAAATGACTGCCTTGGTTTAATAGTGGCTAGCTTTATATAGTCTTTTAGCCAACAAATCGTTTTCGGAAATGCCAGTAAAAATGTATTTGTTGGTAAGGTAGTTAAAACTTAGGTGGTCCTTAATAGAACTAATAAGATCGATGGTTAAGTAAAAAACGTAAATACTCACAGTGGCTCTAAAAAGGGCCAGTGGTGAAATTTCCAGTTACTCTTTATGATTATTTCAGATGATAGAGAGATAACTGCGGATAGCTTGACTTTCATCCTTTGGAGTCTCTGTGTATGTAGACTGCACAGGAGGCAGGTATGCCACTGACCAAAGAATATCTCGTCTTCAGGTCGTTCTCTGGATAGCTATGCCTAGTAGGTATGCCAATGGGATGACCACTAAGAAAGAGGTCATGGAGACAACTAGTACTCTTCAAGGCTGTCTTCTCTGGCTTGAATTTGCAGTAGAAAATTTTCTGACAGCTCAAGGCCGGATGGTTGAACAGCCACAGAACTCTAAAGTGTTGGAGTAAGTTGTACTCTGGCAAGTCAAATCTTGGAGGATCAGATCAGACTTTTCGCTTCATGTTACCTTTTACGTAGCTGTTCACGGCTCACCATAAGATGTTTTACATAAAAAATTTTGTTTACCAACCAGATAATGTCGTCAATCAAATTTAAATTATGCACGAAACCTAATACTATTATTTACAAACTTTCGGCTAGGGTAACAGGCGTATTGGTTAAAATTCCCTGCCCCACTGGTCATATGACGTCTGACCAAAAATAGGACGTCTAGCTATGCCTCTGGCACCAGCCATAAGTCATATAACTATAAAAGATACTAAGATACAAGGATACAAGATACAAAAAACTTATTCAATTAGTATACAAAAATTAAAAAACAGTTGGCTTATTTATCGCTGGTGCTTAAAGCCCTCTAAAGTCACAGATATACATGATTACCTAGTGAATATGAAATTATCGTATTTTTGGAACTTTTTTAATAGTACTTCGTCTTTCTTTATTATAATGGTGTTACATTTAATTTAATGATCGAAAAATTAGATTAACGAAAATTTTTGTATGTATTATTGAGGTACATGCATTGTTCCCTTATTGTATTCGATATACAATCAAGTAGTTTTATTTTATCTTCAAGTGAAGCATCTGTTTTTGTTCCTTATTCTGTCCTGACTAAAAAGAGTCGTCAGTGTAGGATTTATTCCAGATTCATGCTTGGTGTATCAGATCTAAGATTTATCAAGTATCGGATCAACCAATAGAAATTAAAGCAATATAATCTCATGTTTTAAAAAAATATAATGCTTTAAATAGTAAATTGGAATACGAAATATTTAAGGGATAGTGGGGGTATCGGCGCAGGATAGGTCTCGAGAAGCGACAGCATAGTGGCAAGGGCAGTCAGATAAAATTCCTCGGTTTTTGCGTAGACATCGTTTTTGATATAATCCTGCTCACTTAGATTTTTTTGTAGGCTAAGAAGAGTGAGATGATTGTTTTTGAATTCCTTCCAATTCGTATCCAGGTTATTCATACGAACTGTGATAACGGCGTTAGAATAATTTGCTGTGCCCAACTTAGTAAAGTTTGCCAAAGCATTTTTTATAGCGTTTTGAAGGTTTTCCTGGAATGCGAGTAATGCATCAGCCGAACTTGCCATGCCACCTGCCGTGCTAGAACGTTACACAAAATCAAAAGTTCACGGCACTGACTGGCACACAAATACGATGGTCACTGCACTTAGCGTATATTGTGTTAGTTTTTAATAGTCAAATGTCACTCTCGCAATCCCGAACCACGCTCTGCTACCAAAATGTTACGTTCAAGCAAAAAATGCTTGACGAACGCGGGTATCTTAATGTCGATTGTTCGGGAATTACTAAGGATCAATAAACTGTTGAGTGGTAGTAGTTTAAATAGCGTTTATTCAATAGCGTATGTATTTACAATAGCGGTTAGTGGAGCTCAGAGCGCAATTGATGTTGGTTTTTTGCTTGTTGAGACGTATCTGATCTATTACAATAAAAGCGGAGAGGATAACTCAAGTTAACTATACAAATATACACTGTAGTCGTTATATGAGTCAGAGTAGAAAAAGAGATAAGATAAGAAAATATAAGTTCTGAAATTAAAGTATGTATTAATGTAAATTTAAAGTTATAAAATTGATAAGTGTTACTATTAGATGATAAAGCAAAGATAAAGTTATCACAATTCCAGGAAATATAACTATTGCATTTAACGTATTGTGCTAAAGAAAATTAGAAAATGAAGAGAGAAAATTACAAGTTCACGATTGGCGTGAACAATCGATAAATAATGAATTAATTGGGTGAAAAATAAGGTTTTTACTATTACCCTTATAGTGATGTCTTGAATCTTCTAGATTACAAATAGGCAGAATATGTATTAGTATTTTTGTGGCGATAAAAATAGAGAGATAAGGCTCCAGGCCATTGTTGCTGTGGTCATAAAGTTGTGAGATAAGAGAAAAATTATTACTTTTATTACATATTTTTTGTGAGTTGTAAATTTCTACAGCTCGACAAAATAGCCCTGTTTATAGATTATACGGGAGAAACTGCAAATTAACGGCTTTTTAGGGCGAACGATTATTCTGTGGCATTATAAATGCACGGTACTTCTCAGGATAATTATATTATTTTATTTTTCACTGCTTATCTTGATCGAATAAACTGTACCGATTCTAAACGAATTTGCTTTTAATAAGATTTTTATTCTGAAAAGTATCAAAAGTATATGTAAAATTTTTTAACTGACAACGTTTTACATTACATGTCAACACACTACAATGTTTCATTTGGTGATTCTCGGGCGAAGCCGAGGCGAAGAGTCCGCTAGTTCTTAAAATAAATACAATAACTGGTTGTTTTTAATTTTTTTTTTCGACAAAAATTGGAATTTCAACATTAAAATTAATAACAAAAAATCTAAATTATCATTCATAACAAGTTTTTTTCTAACGTAAGTACAGTTTTAACTTAATAGGTTTAACATC